AGCAATTGTATCCTATTCTTTAATTCCTTTGGTTAATACTACCTCTGTTTCTTTAGGGAACTGGAAGAATAAAATTATAGAATCTTATGCTTTCCAGACCATAAAACCTCCTTATGAAGTCAATTCTGACCCTGTTCATTCTTCCACCAACCTTACATTATAGGAATCAGTTCACTTTCTTCCTCACCATCCTCCATGTGAGAGAGTCCATCAGCCTGTTAATAGAATACTGTACTCTAGAGTGGGCTTTCTATGATCTGTAGGGGGTCTGGGACATCAGGATCTGCTTATTATGTACAAAGATATTGCTTTCACAAAATCCTTTTGCTCTTCTCAGAGCTTAACTTTTAACTTATCTCAGAAAATATCATCTACAGTGAGCAAGACCGACACCTTTTCATGAGCAAACAAGAATAAAGGAATTTATATCATTTGTTTATATGATGTCTTTAATTCCTTTAGGTGAGACTTCTTTTTCTTGGTAAAAAATGCTGAATTTTTTAAACATCTATTTTCTCCAACTATAAAATGAATATAAATACATCATGTGGCGTTGTCATGAGGATTTTTGAAAGGATGTGTCTAAAATATTAAGCGCCTGCCCCCTGGCCCCCAGTAAGTGTTCCACATATTATTACAGGTTAGAGTACCCCTTATTTGAAATGCTTGGGATCAAAAGTGTTTCAGATTTTGGACTGTTTTGGATTTTGGAATATTTACACATATATAATGAGATATATTGGGGATGGGACCCAAGTCTAAACATGAAATTCATTTGTTTCATATATAACTTATACACATAGACTTAAAGTACTTTAAGACAGTATTTTTTATAATTTTGTACATGAAACAAAGTTTTAACTGTGTTTTGACTATGACCCATCACATGAGGTCAGGTGTGGAATTTCCACGTATAGCATCAGGTCAGTGCTCAAAAAGTTTCAGATTTTAGGCATTTGGATTTCATATTTTCAAATTAGAAATGCTCAACCATTGTATTGTTTGTCCACTTAACTATACTACTTGAGATAGGACTTAGTAAAGTTAAGCTTTTTATTCACAAATATCTTTATTTACAAAGTAAACCCTTTCTATAAAAATTTTAGAATAAATCTTTTTTAAAAAGGATTTATTAATATCTACCTATATTCAATAGATATAAAATACCATAATAAATCATCACATTTGGAAAAATTTATATTTTCCTATTGCTTATATAAATAAAAATAAAATCATGCAAAATTAATAAAAGTAGAACCAATGACTCTTTTCAGAATCAGAAAACTGCTAGACCACATACTGATCTCAAATAATCAGATTTTATATTATGTCCCTTTTCTATACTTTCTATAGAAAGTATACTTTCTCTATAGTTTCTCTAAGAAACTATACTTTCTCTATTATTATTATTTCCCTCCCTTCACCCCCCCAAAAAAGTCTCTCTACAAACATAAATCAGCATTATACCATACATTAATATTCTCTTTTTACTTCTCATCCAAGAATGTCACCAAAGGATCAGGCCAATCATCAGTCTTTCAGGTAGACACTTACTGTCTCAGAATATTGAGTTCAACCAATACTCATTTAAAATTTTTTTAAGTGTCTGTTATTTTCTAGGCATTGTTCCAGGTTGTGAGGATACAGTGATAAACCAGACTGACAAAGATTCTGCCCTTATGCAAGAAAGAGAAAAGACTGGTAGATGATGAGGTCAGAAAGCTAGGTGGGGTGATTAGAGAACATGGTAAGGAATTTTATTCTACCTAAAATGAGAAGTTACTTGTCTTAGTTTCCTGTGGCTACTGTAACAAATTACCACAAACCAGTGGCTTAAAACACAACAATTTATTCTCACACAATTCTAGAGGCCAGAAGTCCTAAATCAGTATCACTCAGCCAAAATCAAAGTATTGACAAGGCCCCACTTCCTCCAAAGATCTAGGGTAGAAACTATTTCTTGCTTCTTTCAGCTTCTGGTGGTTTCTGTCATTCCTTGGTTTGTGGCCACATCACTCCAATCTCTGCCTCCATCTTCACACTGCCTTCTTCAGATATGTGTCAAATCGCCCTCTGCCTTCTTCTTATAAGGACACATGTGATGGAATTTAGGCCCCACTGAGATAATCCAGGATACTCTACCTCAAGATTCTTAACCACATCTACAAAATACCCTTTTTCCAAATAAGGTAACATTTCCAGTTTCCAGGGATTAGGGCCAAATATCCTTTGCAGAGGGGGCATTATTCTGCCTGCCACATTACTGAAGGAGTTTTCATGCAAGAAAGCAGTAAGATACGACTGATGCCTTTAAAGATCACTCTGGGTGAGTGTGCTCTAGGAGGCAATGAGGAAGCAGTAGATTCAGTGTGGAGGCTGTCGTAGTAACTGGACGAAAGATGACTAAGGCTTGAGAAGTGAAATTACACATAATACATCTACTGCAGTCATGATCAGCTAATGAGGAGGTTGTATAGTAGTTAAGAACAAGCACTCAAGAGTCAGACCTCCTATTGAAACATAATTCTACCACTTACTAGCTTTGCAACTTTGGGTAAGTTACTTAAGTTGTTTCTTCCTCTATCAAGTGACCCTTATAGAACTGCTATGAGGATTCACAGACAAAAATGTATAAAATGTTTGACAGAGTACAGTGCCTGACACATAGTAAGTCCTCAATAAATATTCACTATAGTTATTTTTATCTGCCCCTGGCACTGCACACTTTCTATTATATAATTTTAAGACATATATATTTGGTTCCCGAAATGTAACTTAAACAAATAAATTTAATAACTCAACAGGTAGAGACTTTTTCTGCACTTCATTATAAAGGAGTCACCTTTACTACATGGTGTAATTATATCATTACTGTTCTACATTTTACAAAGTACCATGGTATCTTAGAAATTTATCTTAACAATCAACTTCTTTCACTTCTAGATAACCAGAAGTTCAAATTAAATATTAAAATCTAACATCTAAGATTTCAATATAATATACTGTGGAAAAAAAATTAACACTTAATCAACAAAGACCACAGAAGTTATTTCTTTTTCAAAAGATACGTTAGGGTTAAATCATATAACATGAAAATACTGTCCCAACTATATTTAAAAAGTGTCTCCACAATTATGGAATTTAGATTGGAGGTCAAAATATTTCCTTTCTAAATTCTCAGTTAAATTTAACCTTGATACAACTATTATATACCCATAATTGAAAATTATTTTACAAAAGAAAAATAAATCTTCCCATGTGTACTTCAAAAACTAAAAAAAAAAAAATTTAACCTTGAGATGACTTAATCGAAACTGTGGAAATACTATGAATTAGAATTATAATCCTAACTCTGTTTTGTCATTTTATTTTAACCTTAAATTCCTTCTTCTCTGAAACAGTAAAAATAGTAACTTATTTTAAAAACCATTTTTCAGTTAATACATTATTATAAGGACAAAATGCAAATGTAGTAAAATGAAAATATCACTGGTCAAAGCTTATAATACATAAAGCCAGAAAAATCTCCAACATCACTTTATCTTATATTCTGTAAGGTAAAGGGCAGCTCTAAAAGCTGTATATATTACTGTTATAAATGTGCTAAGAATCTTGAGAATGATTAACTTTTTGCATAAAATATTTATTGTTAAATACTTTAAATTCTCTAAAAGTGAATCATTCATAGACTACCAGTATTGGTAAGTACTCAAATTATTTTTCCCTATGGATTTAACAGACTATCAACCAATATGTTGAAAACCAGCAGAACCATAGCAATGCTCAAATCAGAAATCTGGAAGTCATCCCTCATTTCCCAAATCTAATTCATTATGAAGTTCTGCTCATTTTACATCAATAAATATATCTCAGATATGACTGCTACTATCTATTATCCTAATTGGTTGTCCTAATACTAGCCACCATCAAACAATGTGAGGGGCCAGGCACGGTGGCTCATGCCTACAATCCCAGCACTTTAGGAGGTTGAGGCAGGAGGATTACTGGAGGTCAGGAGTTCGAGACCAGCCTGAGCAACATAGTGTGATCCTGTCACTACAAAAAAGAAAATTAGCTGGTGTGGTGGTACACTCCTGTAGTCCTAGCTACTCAGGAGGCTAAGGCAGGAGGATCACTTGAGCCCAGGAGTTCTAGCTTGAGTGACAGAGTGAGACTCCATCTCTTAAAAATAAATAAAAATAACACAAGGACCAGTGCTGAAGCTCTCTAATTGTCTCATTCCAATATATTCTCCATAAAATAACCAAAATGATCATTGTAAAATGTAAACTGCTCTGCTTAAAGCCTTTCATGGCTTTCCACTGCCCTAGGAATGAAAACCAATTCCTGCATGCTCATCACTGACCATTTCTCTAATCTGTTTTCAAGTCACACCCAACCCTATCCATTGGATTCCAGCCACATTTGCCTCTCTCAGTTCTACCTTTCACCTTAGAGCTATCTTCTGTTCTCTCTACCTGGACTATTCATTCCTGACTCTCAAATGGCTGCTTCCTCCCATCCCTTCAGTTTTCAGCAACTCAAAGAGGCTTTCCTTGACCTCCTGATGCACAAGTGTACCCCCCACACCAACCCCAGTTACTATATTACTTTATCTCATTGTCTCCTATTCTTTACTCTCAGAACCCTTATCACTAATAACAGTTATAGTGTTTGGGGAGGAAAAGGGGTTACCTATGATTTTATAAGAATAATTAAGAGGTTTATCTGAGCTACTGAAAGCGTGCTTTATTAAAATGTCTCTACTGGGAAAATGACTAAAGAAAACTTTACAACTTAAGATCTAGACTTCTCCATTTCTATCAGCTAATTTCCCTAAATATTTTCATCATAATTCAAATGTATATAATAATACTTCCCCCACTCAATTATTAGGTACAAAAGATCAGCCATCAAAGCTCCAAAGTATTCTCCCAACAATGACAACATGTTACTGGGGAAAAAATGGGAAATTCAAATCTTATTTCATACCAACTTACTCTGACTTTTGGCAAGACTCTCCGAAGTGTCTCAGCAGGATTCTGCCGCATCAAAAATGGAAGATTTGCAATCACGCTCGTTCCTTGGATATCTTGACCAGCACTTACAAAGAAGACACAAATTTAAAATTTGTAATTGTAAGCTGAATTCCTGGTCCACAGTTATAAAAAGCATGGATTAATCTGAAAACGACTGTTTTGAATGATAAGCACTCAGACTTCTGACAAAGTTTTAAACATGAAACACATCAACACATCATTTAGATATAAAAATAAAATCAGAACTGAAATTTTACTAAGTGAATCTTATAACAAATACCTGAAGATATTAGTTATGCTTATGCTAGTTATATATGTCTTCTGAAACTATTTATATACATGTCTTAAGTCTAAAAATCATGAAACTATTATCACTCACTTTAAAATTCTACCTCATTTTTTATTTGTGAGTTTGCTGTACTTTATAAAAATATAAGTCACTAAATTTTATTCTGGTAAAATATTAATAATCACAGCAACAGGGAAAGCAATAAAACCAACCACAGAAAAATCACACAACTTCCTTTTAGTACACTGAAATTACTTGTTGCACTAGACTGACTCCATGAGTTGCCAGAAATTTCTTAAAGATAACTCAATACTCTTAATATATTTCAGTAGGATATATTTATACAATAACTTTTTGATGTAAAATTCGTTAATGCTCTATCAAAATAATTTCAGTGATACTCTGAGTAACCTAAATACTTCAAAAAAAAGTATTCAGATTCTTCTGAACCATTTCCATAAACTGCAAAAATGTTTTTTCTTTAAAATATAACCTAAGTGACGTAAGTTCTACAAGTACTTGAAATATACATCAAAAAAATGCTAGTAAATATGGCATCACCACAGAGAGAAATTCCACCTATTCTTAACTAACACCAACTTAAATATTAATTGCTGATGCCATAATATTTATTTACTTAACAAATTATTCTTATCTCTTCAAATGGATTTATAGTTATAAAATATATATATCAGACCAGCACATGTAAAAGGATCTTGAGTTGAAGCAGTCATCTTGGATTATCTGGCTAGACCCTAAATCCAATAACAATTGTCCTTAAAAGAGACATTCAGAGAAGACGACAGATTAGGAGAAGGCAATTTGACCACAGAAATTAAAGTGATGCAACCACAATCCAGGAATCCTGACAACCACAAGAAGCTGGAAGAGGCAAGAATGGATTCTCCCCTAGAGCCCTGCTGACAACTTAATTTCAGACTTCTGTTCTGCAAAACTATGAGAGAATAATTTTCTGTTGTTTTAAGCCACCCAATTTGTGGTAATTTGTTGCAGTGGCCACAGAGAATAAATATACTACTAAAGAACTGAGAAAGAGAATAATCTGAAAAAGTGATGTTTAATATGATAATACTAACCCAGAGCAGAAATTCAGTAAGTATCTCTTGAAAGGATGGATGAATAGATGACAAGCTGGATGAATGATATTAGGAATATTTAATATTAAACATTGGTGAATTTTATTCACTAACTTGCAATTAGTGAAAAAAGAACATGATCTCTAATACCTCGTAGACGAGAAGACAAAGCATTACACAGGAAGGCAAAAAAAAAAAGAAAAGAAAAACAAAAGAGAGAGAGAGAACAACGGGAAACAAAAAATAAAATGGCAGACTTTAACCCTAAAATATCAATAATTATATTAAATATAAATGGCCTAAATACATAAATTAAAAGGCAGGGATTGGCAGAGTGGACTAAAAAATATGACTCAATTATATGCAGTCTACAGGAAACCCATTTCAAATATAACACTTATCAGTAGGTTGAAAGTAAAGAATGAAAAATGATGTATTATAGAAGTGAGAATCAAAAGAAAGCAGGAGTGGCTATATTAATATCAGATAAAGTAAACTTTATAGAAAAGAAAATCACCGCAGACAGATACGGACATTATAAAATGATAAAAGAGGCAATCCATCAAGAGACATAGCAAACCTAAATGTATATTTACCAAACAAGGTTGTAAAATATGTGAAGCAAAAACTGATAGAATTGAAAGGAGAAATAGATAAATACATAGGTACAGGTGGAGATTTCAATATACCTCTCTCAACAACTGATAGGACAACTACACAGAAAATCAGCAAGTATACAGAAAAATTCAACAGTTCCATCAACCAAGATCTAATAGACATTTATGGAACATGCCATCCAATCATAGCAGAATACACATTCTAACTAAGGGCCCAAAGAACATATATCAAGACAGACTACATCCTAGACCATAAAACAAACTTCAACAAATTTTCAAAAATTGAAATAAGAGATTTTTCTCTGACCAAAATGGAATCAAACCAGAAATAAATAACAGAAAAATCCCTAAACTCTTGGAAACTAAATAACATACTTATACATACTCCATGGGTCAAAGTGGAAGTCTTGAGGAAACTTTTAAAATACTTGAACTGAAATGAAAATACATCAAATCAGCATTTGTGGGACACAGCTAAAACAGTGCAAAGAGGGAAATACATAGCACTAAATGCATACATCAGGAAAGAGGGAAAATCTCAAATCAAAAGAAATAATAAAGAACAGAAATTAATAAAAATAAAAACAGAAAACAACACAGAAAAGGAAGAAAACAAAGACATAGTTGTTTTAAAAAATCAATAAAATCAATTAACCTCTAGCAAGAATGACAAAGAAAAAAACAAGACACATATTACCAACATCAGGATTGAAACAGTAGATATCACTACAGACTGTACAGATATCAAAAGGATAATAAATGACTGCTATGAGTAATTCTACACATACAAGTTGACAACTTAAGACAAAATGGACTGATGCCTCAAAATACATAAACAATCACAACTCATCCAATATGAAATAGATCTGAATAGTACTACATCTATTAAGGAAATTGAATTCATATTTTCAAACTCCTACAAAAATCTCCATGCCCAGATGGTTTCACTGGAGAATTTTACCAAACATTTAGTGAAGAATTAACACTATTCTAAACAATTTCTCCCAGAAAAGAGAATGGGGGGGTAACACTTTCTAAATCATTTGATGAAGCTCAAAATCACTGTAATCCATCATATTAACAAGCTAAAGAAAAAAATCACATGATCATATAAATTCAGAGAAAACATTTGACAAAATTCAACACATGGGTGCTGAAATTTCAGATTCAATATCATTTATAAGCACTCAAAAAAAAAGAAATACTAACAAAATATGTACAGTATTTGTATGCTGAAAATTACACAATATTGATGAAAGAAATCAAAAGAGATCTAAACAATTAGAAAGACATGCTTTGCTGATGCACTGGGAAGTTTAACATAATGAATATGTCAATTCTCCCCAAATTCATACACAGGTTTAAAACAATTCCTATCATCAAGCAAATACAAAGTAAAAGCAAAATGAAATATCACTACACACTTATTAGAATGGCTAAAGGAAAAATAATGACATTACCAAAAACAAAGAAACTGGATCACTCATTCATTGCTGTTGAGAATATAAACTGGTACAGCTGCTCTGGAAAACAGTTTGGTAGCTTCTTTAAAAACTAAATGTAACATCATGCAAGCCAGGAAATTCAGTCTCAGGCATTTAGCCCAAAGAAATGGAAACTTATGTTCGCACAAAAACCTGTGGATGAATGTTTATTGAAAACCTATGTTCACACAAAACCTGTGAATGAATGTTTGTAACAGCTGTATTTGAACAAAACAAAACAAAAAAGGAAACAATCATATGTCCTTAAACAGATGACTGGTTAAACAAACTGTGGTACGTCCATACCATGGAATGTTACTCAGCAATAAAAAGGAACAAACTAATAATATGTGTAACAACCTGAATTAATCTCCAAAAAATTATGCTAAGTAAAAAAAGTCAATCCCAAAAGGTTACATACTATATAATATCATTTCTATAGCATTCATGAAATGAAAAAATTATATGAATGGAGAACAAACTAATGGTTTCCAGGAGTTAAGGAGGGATATAGAGGCAGGAAGGAAGTAAGTGTGACTATAAAAGTATAATATGAGTGATCCTATGGTGATGGAAATCTTAGGTATTATGACTGTATCAACATCAATATCCTGGTTGTGATATTGTAACACAGTTTTTCAAGATGTTATCATAGGGAGAAACTGGGTAAAGGGTACATGGATATTTCTGTATTATTTCTTTTTTTTTTTCATTTCTTTTTTATTTCAGCATCTTATGGGGGTACAAATGTTAAGGTTACATATATTGTCCTGGTCCCCCTACCCCCTTGAGTCAGAGCTTCAAGCATGACCATCCCCTAGATAGTGTACATCTCACTCATTATGTATGTATATATCCATCCCCTCCTCCCCCTCCTACCTGCCCAACACTCGATAAATATTATTCCTATATATCCACTTAGGGGTTGATCAGTTAATACCAATTTCTGCTTAGTACATGTGGTGCTTGTTTTTCCATTCTTAGGATACTTCACTTACCAATAGTAGAATGGGTTCCAGCTCTATCCAGGAAAATACATTCAGAATCTGACAAATCCAACATCCACTCATGATTTAATAAAAGTATCAGCAAACTAGAAACAGAAGGAATTTCCTCATCCAGATAAAGAATATCTACAAAAAACTTACGACTGGCATCATACTTAATGGTGAAAGAAGGAATGCTTTCCCCCTAATCAGGAACAAGGCAAGGATGTTCACCATGACCACTTTTATACCAACAATATGTTGGTGATCTGAGCCAGTGCAATAAAGCAAGAAAAATAAAAGATTTACAGATTGGAAAGGAAGAAGTTAAATTGTCTTTATTCACAAAAAACATGATTGCCTACAGCAAAAAGCCTAAGTAATCTACAAAATAGCTAACAGTTAATAAGTGAGTCTACAGTGTGGCAGAATACAAGTTCAATATATAAAAGTCAACCGTATCTCTATATAAAAGAAAAATTATAAATTGTTATTTTAAAAGTAACCAAATTTACATAAACATAAAAATATAAAATATATTTGGAAAATGCGGCAAAAGATGTACAATATCTATAGATCAAAAATTATAGA